TTAAAAAAGTGCAAAATATTTTCACCAAGAACTCTGTGCACTTTCGGTTATTATTCATCTAGTGATGTCACACATCAGTATTGTCATTTCCTAGTTTCCATTTGACTAAATAGGAATTTTGAAAACTAATAGAAATGATTATTCATTCCTGTTCCTTAGGTTGGAATAGTAACATCTGCTGTCATGTTTTAGCTATCCTTACAAAATTATTTGGGCATTTCACCACAAATATGATCAGTAATTGGAATTTTTAAATCTGCAGTTCTAAGGGAATGTTTTGACTCAAGACTGCAAATAGAAACAGCATCTTTTTTTATTGTCATTCTCCACGCTCCCCCCCTCCTTGTTTTCTCTGTATTAGAACCTAAAAGCAGTGAATACCCTGCCTGACAACTCATAGGTGGCCGTATTTACATATTTTAATTCAGTGGAAACGTGGAGAGTAATTGAAATCAATAACTTCATCGATACAGGATTGGAATGCCTCTTAACATTCATTAGTTTAGGTGCTGCGGATCTAGAGTAGAAGTTCTTAATTCGGGATCCATGGATTGGTTTCGGGCATCTGAATTTGTATATACTGTACATATGTTTTTCTTTTAATAATGTATGAGCGTCTGTAAGAGTCTATGTGCATTCTTCTGGGGTAAAATCCCCACAGGGCACCAGATTCGCTGAATAGACCTAGATGCCTCAAAAGGTTACAAACTACGATACCAGTTGACAACATTGCAACAATGCAGTTCTTAGGCAGTCTTTAGAACTCATTTGCCAAGGCAGGAGCCTCTACCCTACACAAAAATGGCGAGAGCGGCTTCACACGTAGCCCCTCACGCTGAAAGGCTACAAGGCCCCCGCCACATTCTCTCCACCTTCCCACTTCTGACCCCGGAAGGACTCCGCCCCCGCGACCAGGCGGCTCTTCAGTCCTGGGCTGCGGCTGGGAAGCAGGAGTGAGCCCGCAGCACCTGACCTGTAGCACCAGGTACAAGGGTGGAGGGTGAGGGCGTAGGGGCGGGTGGGGTCGTGTAGCCCGCGGGGGCCGAGGCAAGCAGGGTGGGGCGTGGTGGGGCGCGGGTAGGAGCCCCGGCCTTGGCCCTCGGGAATCCCAGGGCGGGTGAAGGAACAGAAAGCCAGAGAAGTCCGCACGCCGGAGGGAGGCCCGCAAGGGGAGCGCTGAATCAGGGTGGGCTCCCGACTACTGCTCAGAGCCCAACCGAGGGTCTGGGCGGGCGAGCCGAGCGAGAGTCCACTTTTCTGGTCCCTTGGTTAAAAAAAAAAAAAAAAAAAAAAAAGGAAGACCGCTGAGGATAGTGCTTGTGGAGGTCGGGGGTGAGGGTCCTGGTGGAGGTAGGGCCGCTAGCGTGGTCCAAGTTTTTGCGTGAATGCCAGTGGTTTGAGCAGGGAGTGGTTTTTGAATGAGGAAGATTACTCTTTCTTTGCTGGTGCTTTCAGAGAATAATAGAGCACAGGGAGGATTGTGGCCTCAGGGCCCTTTTGTAAACAAAGTTGTTCCACATTTATATTGTGGAAGGAGGACTCCAAAAGATCTTGCTTTTGCACAGACCTTTATTATTATTGTTATTTTATCTTTATTGCAACTAAATATTTTTGCTGTGTTTTATTTACTCAGTTCGGGTGCATGAGTTTACGTTTCACGTCAGTTTGGGGAGGGGTATTTGGACTTTCATTATTGCTTAAATTATAAAGCAAGCTGTAGAATAGAATTTTAGGGTGTTTAAGAAACAAACTATCACACATTTTTAGCTCTCCAACGGTTACATAATTACATAATATAGTGGTTTTGGTGATGTTTTAGAGCCTTCTACAAATTTGAATAATAATTAAACTGCCTTCGTGTTTATTTTAATTAGTATTTATGGAAGAAACTGAAATGATTAGTTTTTTTAAAAGTTATTCAGTTATTAATTATTAAGTTTTCAATCACTCTGTACTGTCAGGGCAGAGCCCAACTCAAGAGCTTGAACTCATGAACTCAAGATCATGACCTGAGCAGAAATCAAGAGCCAGAGGCTTAACCGACCGAGCAACCCAGGCACCCCTTTAGTGTAGTGTTTTTGAAAAGTAATACATGTAGGTATTTAAAAAAAATCAAATATTAGAGAAGACTTATAATGAAAAGAAATGATTCCCTGCACAACCTTATACCCCTAATCTCATTCTCCAGAGGACCATTTTTCTCAGGTTTAATTTCCTTTGTATTTCTCAGCAATATGTTTCTATCACAGTTTGTTGCTTGGAATAAGTGTACTTCAATTAGAATTATACTGAGCCTAGGGGTGCCTGGGTGGCTCAGTGGGTTAAGCATCGACTTCGGCTCAGATCGTGATCAGATCATGATCTCTTGGTCTGTGAGTTCAGGCCCGGCGGTTGGGCTCTCTGCTGACAACTCAGAGCCTGGAGCCTGCCTCTGATTCAGAACATTAAAAAAAAATTAATTAAAAAAAATTAGAATTATACTGGGTCTAAACATTGTAATTAGAGTATGTGTGAAGGGGGATTAAGTTTACACTCTGTGAGTGTCGCTAGTAGGGAATAAATAAGGTGTCAGTAGCAGTAACCTACCTTTAGTATTACTGTTTTTCTTGAAAGGATACTACTACTTAATGGTTTTGATGCTTGTCTGAAAAAAAAAGATATTAACAGTAAAGGGTAGTCTGCATATTAACAGAAAGTGGTCTGGAGTCTGCAAAAAGCACAGAGATATGCAGAAATAAGGGACTGAAAGTATAGCCAATAAGCTTTTTTTCCCCCTTCTTTTTTCTTTTTTGAACGGGGAGCGTGCTGGGAAGCAGGGGAGTGGCAGAGGGAGAGGGAGAGAAAGAATCTGAAGCAGGCTCCGTGCCCAGTGAGGAGTCCCATGCGGGGCTGGATATCACGACCATGAGATCATGACCTGAGCTGAAATTGAGTTGGACTGAGCCACCCAGGAGCCCCTAGCCAATAAGCTTTTGTTGGAAGATTTTTGATTTTTATTTTCTCTTTAGTAATGTTTATATAGCCCTATTCAAGGAAAAGAAATATTAAATTTGGTAGACGTAAATTCTGGTTACTGGAAAAGCCTACCCTCCTGTGTACCAGAGACTGTTGTCAGGCTTTTAATTGGCCTAGATAAAATATTCCTTAGGTTCCATTAATTTTGTGTTTACCAGGCAAACTTTTTAACGTATGAATTTAGGTCCTACATTTTTTTTTTAATGGTATTAAAATTTATTTTGAAAGAGAGAGCATGAGCAGGGGAGGGACAGAGACAGAGGGAGAGAGAAAATACGAAGCAACCTCCTCATGTCAGCACAGAGCAGAGCTCTGTGCAGGGCTTATACTCACAAACTGTGAGCTCATGACCTGAGTTGACATCAAGAGTTGGGCACTTAACTGACTGAGCCACGCAGGAGCCCCTAGCTCCTACAGTGTTTTATCTCAGAGGGTATGTCTTGATGACATATATAAGTATTTTTTTGACTAGTGTATTTCCTTATTATAAATGAATAAATATGTAAGCTGATTTATACATCAGTACTATGTGAATTTGTTTATTGTGTCCAACTGAGTACGCAGATAAAATTGAGTTTCTGGCTTTGAAAAGCATAGACCCAGACCCTGAACCATCATGTCTGTGAAAGTTCTGCTACCCTTAAGGGCCTTTATGAGAGATAGCTGCTTTCTCTGTAGACCTCTGACTTCTCTTATCTGACTTCTCTTTCTTTGGTTTCAATAGAAATAGGCATTAAAACAATATTAAAATTTCATAGCATGCATGTAGCATTTCTTTGAACATCTTTAAAATGGAATAGTAGGAGAATAAGTGCCTGAGTTCTGAAGTTCAGTTCAGTGAACTGAGGTTACTTTCTAGCCCCAGGAGTCATGGTTCCAATCAGGTTCCTTTCAGTACCTGTACCTCCTGTTATTTGAAGGAAATAAGTGGGAAGAAATAGGTTTTAAATTTTATTTAAAAGCTGAAATATTGGGGTGCCTAGGTGGCTCAGTTGGTTTAGTATCTGATGTTGGCCTCAAAGGGCCGTGGACCTGGGGTGGCGAAGGAACTGAGAAAAAGAGACAACAGTATAGCGAGGCACAGGGGACCCGGAGCCAACAACCCTAGGTACCGAGGTTTATTGTACATCTTCTTATATACGTTTTCAGGAAAAACAGATCAGCAATGATTAACAACAGAAAGCTTAGCAAAGCATGTCAATGGTGTACATCTGATTTAGCTATCGTACATGTATGTTGTGTACGAGAGCAGCCTTGCAGATACATATGTTCCGGTAAATAGAGGCAAAGACAAAGGGAGTGAATGCACTGTGCTATATACAGCTGGCTTCCTTTAAGCAAAACATCCCTATCTGCATACTAAAGAACAGACCACATTTTCCAAGGGCAATTCACTCAAGTCCTTTCAGGTTATTTTTAACCTTACCATCTCACGTTTTCTCAGAGATCTTGGAGCCTGAATGAATATGCGCCTACGGTAATTGTGGTGTTCTGTTTCCCATGATGAGGGTCATGATCTCACGGTTCCTGAGTGAGCCCCACATCGGTCTCTATGCTGACCGGTGTGTAGCCTGCTTGGAATTCTCCCTCTGTCTCTCTCTCTCTCTCTCTCTCTCTCCCTCGCTCTCGTTCTCTCTGTCTCTTTTCCCTCTCCCCCCAGAAATAAATAAATAAACTGAAATTTTTTAAAAAAGCTGAAATATTTATTTAAGCAGAAAAGAGAGAATCTAGGACCTGTAATTTTCTAAGGAAAATGTGCTACTTGAACTCATAGTTCAAATCTAACACATTTTCTTTTTTGGATGCTTTGATGATTAATAAACTTTTAGCTCAAGTAAATTTGGCTCATAATTTTCTTCAGGGAAGTATATCATGAATAATTAACTGCAAAAAGAAAACACTGATAGAGTTAAATTTTCAATTTGTATCTTTCATTTAATGACTAATATGTTTTTATGTTTCATTTAATGAAGGTTGTAAGAGGAGTCATGTCAGAAGAAACAGTAAGCGAATCACAGTTTTCCTTGAAGACTGCAGTACTAAGAGTGTTTGATCTTCCTCTGTCTTGGTACTATTCTCTCTCCCAGGTAAACAAACAAAAAACATGAAGTCGAATAAGTTTATTGCTCAGAGCATAGTATTTTGTTTATAGTATTTAAATTTCAATTGAAGTTTTAAATGGTTCAGTCAAAATGTTTATTAAGGTAGTTTAGGATGCCTGGGTGGCTCAGTCAGTTACGTGTCCTACTCTTGGTTTCTACTCAAGTCGTGATCTCATATTTCATGAGTTTGAGCCCCACACCAGGCTCTGTGCTGGCAGCAAAAAGCCTGGTTGGCATTCTCTCTTTCTCTCCATTTCCTTTTCTCTCCATTTCCCTTTCTCTCTGCCCTTCCCCATTGGTATATGTGTATGTGCATGTGTTCTATTTCTCGAAATAAAAACAAAAAATAAAAACCAAAAACTTTAAAATGTTTATTAATGTGGTTTAAAACTTACTTGGTTTTTATTTCATGGCTTTTTGTTACCATATTCATAACTTTAAAAAAATTTTTTTAATGTTTTTTTTT